GTGTGTACTATGTAAAATTTGTCATTCGTAGTCGTAGCTTCAGAACACGAAAGAGTTTAAAATCGCCTTCATAAAGACGATCATTCAATTTGTCATACTTTGGGTGTATGATTAGTAGCATGCTCCGGAATTGAAGGCGTTTTGGTTCGAAACGTAGTGACGACTAACTGCAGACAAAATAAAAATAATACTGACGCGAGGTTTCTTTGCAATTCTTTGTGAGTATCCCCGCAAGTTAGCCTATAAGAAGAGTAGTGCTCACATATGTATACATAAATAGCGAAAAACGGTTGCAATTCTTTGTGAGTATCCCCGCAAGTTAGCTTATAAGAAGAGTAGTGCTCACATATGTATACATAATTAGCGAAAAACGGTTCTCAAGTGCTTCTGCATAAATTATTATTTTAATGATTTCTCACTTTATTAATTGAGTAATTTAGTCTTTCTCTTCTTTCTTTTTCTTCTTCTTATCTTTTTATATCTTCTTTTTTCTCTCTCTTTCTTTCTTCCTTTTATTCTTCTTTCTTTTTTCATCCTCTCCCACAGGAAATAAAAAAGAAAATTTGTCTCGAAAAGGGCATAAAGAGACCTAATAACGTTATGAGCATTAAATGGTAAAAGATAAATTCGTTTAAATCAAAACTCAAATTCAATTTTTGCACGACGTACATCCTATTGAGTTGACGTGATTGAAACTAAAGTTATCGTGTCCACACCAAATTCGCCAACAGAGACCGTCAGACTATCATATTAAGAATGATACCACTATTCAAACACGTGAGAGCTCGTTTTGCCTATGCTAAAAATTGAAGGCGAGCCAAAATTACATTAAAGTAACCTTCTTTCAATGAATAAAAAATCATTTTTTGGTGCTCACGAAGAGTCCCTAGAAGAATGGACTATTATAGCTTTGGGCTTTCAAAAAACCTGAACGACTTGTTAAAATTTACGAATTCGGAAACCCTTTTGTTCTTCTTTCATTTGTAATTAAAATTTACGTTAAAAAGAAAATTATAAAAAAACAACCGGCATCAACATATTGTTGGATTCTAAAAATAACTTACATTGATACTATACGCGGCATAAACTGCAAAATATGTAACATAAAATTTAATACTTAGATTTATAGTGCGATATTATTCAAATGTTTTTGTTCCACTATGCGACTCGAGACGGCAAACCGTGGGGGGGGGGGGGGGAGTTCTAGCGAGGGGATGAAAAGAATGAAAGACTAAATGATGGAGTCTTAGTAAATTAGTACCGGATAACGATCAGCAAATAAGTTCTTACGCGCATGTCTACTTTTCTACTCCTGCGTTCAAGTCTCAAAATAAATGCACCATTAGAAAGCGGCCGGCAGTGCTGACAAATTATAATGATGCATGTTTCTTTATGAAAATTTTACTTATCACGGTGTTTACACGATGATGGTACAACGAAAGTCTACTTTCCGTTTTTTTTTCTTTCTCGCCTTCTCATTCCTCTTTCCATCTTCTTCTGAGACGGGAAATAAATTAAAACAGTCTGGTCAAAAAAACAGCGCAAAAGGCATACTAACGTCAATGAGCGTTAAATGGTAAAGGATAAATTCGCTTGAATCGAAATTCGAACTCATTTTTCACACTAAATAAGTAAAGCCATGAAAAAAAAAGATTCAGTAGATGTAATATGAACAAAAGTTATCGTGTCTACACAAAATTCACCGTCGAAGACCGTCTGACTTATACACTGAGAGATCGTTTTGCCTACGCCAAACATTTAAGCGAAACGAGACGTTAAAATGAAATTTAACTGCCCTACTTAAAAACACCTACTTTTTTAGTGTGTTTCGAGTGACGTGCCATTTCCCGAAGATACCACTATTCGTAGACATGATAGCTTGGGTTTTCTTGTGGCTGGTCACGATTACACGCAAAAACATAAGGAATTCCTTAATTTTTTGTGTTGTTTGTGAGAAAACATGAAGTTGACTGCATTTCACGTAGCTCAATTGCCTGACATGTTTAAACTCTCTCTCTCTCTCTCTCCCTCCCCCTCACTCCCTCCCTCTCTCTCCCTCCCCCCTCTCCCACTCTCTCTCTCTCCTCCCTCCCTCTTTTATTCTTCTTTTTTATTGCTTCCTTTCTTTCTTTATAGAAAGACTAAACGACGCTGTAATTTGAATTGTGACGATGAATTGTACCTTTCTTGTATCTTGTATTTAATGAATTGATGTATTTGTATGTACTGTATACTCTCCGGAATGCATGAAGTATCACACCACAATTGAAAGCATTTTCAAAACTGTCAACTTTCCACATCGAAATTCTCGTGTCGCATAAGATTCGGAGCATAAGATAAATGGAATGACTGCATGATCTTACGAGCAAAGGAAAACCGAAAAAGCCAGCGTGGAAGATACTTCAATATTTATCTTCCATCGCATTGCTAAGGCGCAGTGATACGACTATTCGTACTCTCCGAAATGCGTGAGGTATCACGCTTCAATTGAAGGCGTTTTCAAAACTACTAACTTTCCATATCGGGATTAAATCCATATCGGGTAAATAGGGTGTCTACTGAAACTTGCTGGAAGTACTTACATTCACAGTGCTTTTTCAGTACCTTTCCAAAAAAATTAATTCCACATAAGCAGAAAAATTCAGTACTTTTTTTGGTCCCTTTTTAAGACGAAATTCGAAAATTGTCGAGATTCACCCGCAAATCGCGAGACAAATGACGTAGCCAGGAAGTTTGAAGCTCACTGTTGGCCTGAGGAGAACTGCTTTTTGTACACATTTCTTATTGTACTTTCTTGTATTTTATGGTTGACTTGCGTTCCTAATATTTAGTTCCATTTCCTGAGCACACTTAAATTATGCGGTCAAAGTTGCGATAGCGGCAAAGGAAAACCAAAAAGGCTAGCGTGGAAGATACTTCAATATTTATCTTCCATCGCATTGCTAAGGCGCAGTGATACAACTATTCGTACTCTCCGGAATACGCGAGGTATCACGCTTCAAGTGAAGGCGTTTTCAAAACTACTAACTTCCCACATCGGGATTATCGTGAGAGCATGAGATAAATGGAATGACTGCAGGATCTTACGAGCTTGTGTAACAGTTATGCCCACATCTATGTCTGTGAAGTTAGCACCCCGACTTTTAAGATTTTAAATTTTCTCTCTTGCTCATCATTGCTCATAATTTGCTCACCTCTAAAATCACTTTCATTTTTTTTGCTCAGGCATGTACCCCCCGAAAATCGAACTTGAACTTTCAGAGAGGTCATTGACCTTAGCACCCCCACTTTGTCCGATTGACCTGAAAATGGTCTCAAACGACGCAGAATCATTTGCTCACCTTTGCTCAGCCCTTAGTTTTTGTTGCTCACCTTTCCGCCGCCCCCCCCCCCCAAAATGAATGGCGGCATTTCGGGGGACATCAAAGGCAGCACCCCCACTTTGTCCTATTGAGCTAAAATTGGTGTCAAACGACGCAGGATCTTTTGCTCACCTTTGCTCAGCCCTTCGTTTCCGTTGCCCGAATCCTACCTCCTCCCGAAAACGAATGGTGGTTGCGAACATAGTCGGTGCGCTCCATTTGATGTGCGCCAAAATGCTGCCATTCGATTCGGAGGGGAAGTGGGGGGTGAGCAACGGAAACTTAGGGCTCAGCAAAGGTGAGCAAATGATCCTGCGTCGTTTGACACCAATTTCAGCTCAATCGGACAAAGTGGGGGTGCTGCCTTGGATGTCCCCCAAAATGCCGCTTTCATTTTGGGGCGAAGGGGGAGGTGAGCAACGAAAACTAAGGGCTGAGCAAAGGTGAGCAAATGATTCTGCGTCGTTTGAGACCATTTTCAGGTCAATCGGACAAAGTGGGGGAGGTCAATGACCTCTCTGAAAGTTCAAGTTCGATTTTTGGGGGGTACATGCCTGGAAAAAAAAAATGAATGCTATTTTCGAGGTGAGCAAATGATGAGCAAAAGAGAAAATTTAAAATTTTAAAAGTCGGGGTGCTAACTTCACGGACATCCCACATCTCCTTTTTATGATTTTTGTTCATAGCTTTCGTTCCAGTTAATAATGAGCGTGTAATTTGCTCAAATGCGTTTTCGTGATATTTAAGCTTTTTATTCACATTTCTTATTGTACTTTCTTGTATTTTATTGTTGATTTGCGTTCCTAATATTTAGTTCCATTTCCTGAGCACATTTTAATTATGCGGTCAAAGTTGCAATAGCGGCAAAGGAAAACCGAAAAGGCTAGCGTGGAAGATACTTCAATATTTATCTTCCATCGCATTGCTAAGGCGCAGTGATACAACTATTCGCACTCTCCGGAATGCGTGAGGTATCACGCTTCAATTGAAGGCGTTTTCAAAACTACTAACTTTCCATATCGGGATTGGCGTGTCGCGTAAATAGGGTGTCTACTGATACTTGCTGGAAAATATTAAGTACTTACATTCACAGTACTTTTTCAGTGCCTTTCCAAAAAATTCAATACCACATAAGCAGAAAAATTCAGTACTTTTCTGGTCCCTTTACGAGACGAAATTCGAAAATTGTCGAGATTCACCCGCAAATCGCGAGAAAAATGACGTCGCCAGGAAATTTGAAGCTCACTGGTGGCCTGAGGAGCAATTGGTTTTACAATCACGATCTAACGGGAAAATACTGCACTAAGAAATATTGCGCAATGGATGGCATATTTTCTAGGCTGTTTCAAAAACCACCCATGGCATGAAGCACAGAATTTCCGACCTGCATGGGAAATTTCGTACTTTTTCAGTCTTCCGGACCGTTTTAAAAATCAGTACTATTTCCCGACTCCGGACCGGTATTCACCCTGGAACCAAATTACAAAAAACAAACAATGCGCTCTCAAGGTTTCATTAAGAAAGTTGCGAAGGTTTTTGATAAGAAAATTAAATATGGAAGGAAATGAGGCATCACCTAATACAATTAAGCTGAATCTGGTTAGAGGAAACTCAAAAAGAGGAACTAAAATGACACAATTTTTTGATTGAGAGGAATTTTATTAGTAACTTAGAAAAAATATCAATTTAACAACTTGCCACAAACTGCTTAAACCTTACACTTTATACAAAAAATTTGATGTCTTCATGGAAAACACTACTTAAAAAAAAGCTGTTTTCTGAAATCTGCCGGTTTACTAGCTTTCTACCCCACACACATTGAGACAAAATGAAACTGAGCAGTGCCTGGTGCACCTTTTGGAAATTATTAGTAATCATGAGCTCAAACATGAATTAAGTGGAAAACAGTAGACCAGGGAGGTTTCAGAAAATGCCACTAACTTTAAAATTGGCAGCGAAAATTACAAGAGGACTTACAGCTAGAAAAAAGTAAGTTACACCAACTGAATCTTTATTATCCAGCCTTCAAGCATCGAGACACCCCCAGTTTTGCTGAATTTTCCAAACAATTTTGATTTGCAAACTGATTGGGGGGGGGGGGGATGTATCTCGAACCCAATTCGAAGCATCCAGAAGTGAAATTGTAACACTATTAAATATTAGGATTCTTTTTTTTCTCTTTTTTTCAGACTAGTTACTTGTTACATCCGGCCAGATAATATGGATTCTACATCTTAATTAATATCAGATAACAGTAAAAATCTGTGTGTTTAAACTTCAATGTCTTAATAATGAGTAGAAATATTTGTGCAAAATCTACCTGAGTAATATCAAACACTGAACTTATATTTTTAACTTCAAGAGGACAAAGAAATTCTATGGAAATTGGAAAGAAAAGAGAAATAAAACAAAATTCATCACGCAGTTTGATCAAATAAAAACTTACAAGCACAAAATAATTTTTGCGAGAGATGTATCATCTTTGAAAGTAAATCAACAAGCTTTTATCATAAAACTGTGGTTTTATATTCAACTTTTATTGGAGCTTCATGGGTAATGTGCTGAACACAAACATATGATCAATATAAAAAATTATATCACCTGGCCAAGCAATACCAAGTGTTACAATTATTACCTGATTATTTTCTTGTTGAATGTTTACAGGAATCTTTCCTCAGAAACAAAGAGAGCAAACAACAGTTTTTTTGAGGAAGAAAAGAAAAAATTATAACTAATTATATTCCGTTACACTGAAAAGAATTCCTTCTTTCAAGCTTAAACACTCAATGATGAAAAAACTATGCGTAAGTACTAATTTAAAGAAAGGATGTCTCATAGCATTTTCTTTTTCTCCTCCCTGATTTTATAGACCTTTTCTTCAGAATCAAAAAAGACGCAAAAATATTCATAGCTCACAGCTCACAGATAAACACACTATTATTATCTTCTGTATTTTTTACCAGATATTTCTCATCAGACAAAGCAAAATAAGAGGCAGATGTTTCAAAGAACATATTGAGAAATTTACGATGAAATTATTTCAAGTCCTTGGAAACTTTTCCTTGCAAAAAATGGGCATATTTATACTAAAAAAAAACTATTTATGTAGGTGGAAATGGAAAAAAAAAAAAGGAAATCAAAATCAAAAAGAACTATGATTCATGAAAATAGTGTGCTTATAATTCCTTTGGAGGATTTAATTCATTTTCACAAGGTTTCATCTTCCATGAAGTCGTCCAAAAGTACTGGGTTAAAAAATAATGTGAAATTTTCTCGCCTTTAAAGCTATGTATCGGCTTCGGTGTTAGTCAAGTCAACATTGTGGAAACGTCACAAGACAAAGACAACATAGAAAACAAAGTTGGAAAGGTACAATTGAATCCAATGTATTTCTTTCTGGCCTCGCTATTGCCAGGAAAGTAAGAAAATTATATTTTTGTCTCATTTTTAGCGAATAAAAATTAATTTTAATGGAGCTTTACTCCACAGCACATTGGAAACTAAATTTTTAGTTAGCCTGAGTCTTTTTGTTAATGGTAGAAAAAGGCCGAAGGCATGCTTCGAGAGCCCAACTCACTGTCTACTGATCAATGTCAATCATGAGAACAGATAAGAAGCAAGAAAGAACACAAACAACTTGATAGGCCGGAGAATCCTTGACTTCCATGAGCTGAGCATGTATCACTGCAAATAAATAAAAACCCACACAGAATTACTTAAAATGATAGTTAATGACAGACGTAAGATAAAAAGAGGTAAAAATAAAAACAGAATAGAATATTTGAATGCATTTAACCAAAAAGATCTAATGACAATACTAAGGGATTTAAGATATGACATATCACCTGAGGGGATGAATTTGATTTTTGTTTAAAACTTAGAAGGCTTGGTTGAGCGGTACATCAATGGCTAAATGCAAAAAGCGCATACCTTGATCACAATATTTTAAAATCATCGATTATGTTTTATTCTCTTCGAGGCAAACTGATCTACTAGTTTCCTCGTGATTTTGTATGATAGTTTTAGATTGAGTGAAAACAATTCACAAAAAATGTCAATAGCAACTGAGGGTTGGTTTTTGATTTAAAAATAAAACATGAGCTGAAACTTGAAAAATAGCAATCCAACATACACATTCTTCAAATCTAGCTATCAATCAATGATACAAGTAGCGATGGATCGATCCAAAGCTACCAAAAGTGGATGGCTGATGGTTCTAAAATGATGACTTGGCTTGGAGCAGATAGAGGGTTTTTAATAAAATGCAGATAGACTTGTTTGAGCCATATTCTAAATGATGATTATACTACACAGAAAATAATTCGCAAAAGAGTTAAAAGCCCTAAAATGACCTTGACTTTTGTAGTTGAGTGGTTTTTCGACTGCTCCTTGTTTCTTTTAACTCTTTTACTTTACAACTTTTACATATTGACAGTGTAAGTCGGCAATCACATTACTCGGTTTGCAACATTGCAGACTTCCCGGCCTTCCCTTATTTTCTAAACGGAAAACTACTCAACAGCAATTCTTTGGAACTGCTATGATTTTTCTTATCTATGCAAAGAAAATTCTGCATAAACTTCAAGGAATGATGTCAATTTGTTCTCCTTTAAAAAAATAACATCGAGGCGGAGATTTTCAGACACCGTAAACGAGATATGTGATTGCGGACTTACGCTGTCGATATGTACTTTGTACAAGTTTTTTTCGGAGTGAGTGATGCATTAGTTCATTTTGAAGAGACCATTTGGGGCCTTGATTCATCCCTGCAATTCTCTTATAAAAAATTATATTGAATGATCACTGCCATTGAGAAATTCGGAGGATGGTTAGGAAAAAATTCAATATAAATAAAATGAAGGGAGAATAAAATAGGAGATGTATTTAAACTTTGAAACTTGATAGAAATAATTACCAATTTATGTCAAAATGCATTCACTTGCCATATATGCATTCATCAGCCTGACAATGCAAGCAGCGCATCTTGCAACTTTTTACGAGCTGAACTGACTCTGTCTTCTTGTTTTTTGATATCATCTTCCCCAATAGTTAACGCCTAAAAAAATAAACACAGAAGAAGTTAAAATTTTTAGAGCTAAAAATTCAAATGTTCAATAAAGAGTGTTAGAAATAGTAAATGGTTACAAGCGGAAGAAACTGCCGCACTTTCAGCACTTCAGCCAAATTGTGGCAGCAGGAACTAAGAGTCTTGGCTTCAGGTGTCACATTTTTCAGGGTGCAGGATGCAGATATTGGAGAAATAATTTCACCATGTTCCATTGAAAAATCAGAATAGGAGCTTTTAAATTTTTGCCAGGAGCATAAAATTGCACTTTAATCCAACCGTGAAAGGCTGCAAAGGAAGCATATTAAAACTTTTGGTCCTTCCCTTTTGTAATGACATTTTTTAACCTGCTTAATTCAAGCAATTACTTCATGATTTTGATGCCGTTTCATATTAGTGGCTGATTCTCTTGTGAAAAAGTTTGTGAAAAACTCCTCTGTGCAAAAAGGCCATTGTCTCAGTTTCAGGCTTCTCATTGCGAAGCTTCCCTGTTGCTTGAGGTTACGAAAGAGTGCAATAATAATTCATCTAAAAAAATATTTAGGTAGGTAGTTATTGAATGTTTTACTGTTTACTTTTCTATCGTTCTGTGTGTGTGATACATATACAAAGCCACATCTGTAAAAACAGTGGAAATCAAACATTCGCTATTTTTAAAAGGCTAACCTTCAAGAATGTTTGTACCAAGTTTCAGACTTCTGGCATAATTTTTGATTAAGATACAAATAAACAACCGTTTTATATCTAAAAACAGCAGATGTCAAAATTTGTTAAAATAACAAATATTGAGCTAAATAGTTTGCTGAAACTCATTTATCACCTTAATGATCAAGAGCATGAGCACATTAAAATAGTAATAAAAGTTAATAAGACCTATTGCATGTGGGTCCTTGGGAAATGGTACCTTTTTCAATATTTTTCCTATTGTAAAAGACTAATAATATGGTTTGTTTCTTATTTCTTTATGGAAGTTACCAAACATTTATTTTTTTAGGAAAATCATTGAGAACCTGAACCGTAATCATAATTTGATCAATATCAATCGCTTTATCTTTCTTACATTAGTTAGGTAGTTAATTTTACGCCTAGAAAAAGTTCTCCATACAAACAGCGAATGTGGTATTTTTTTAAACTCACTGTATCTTGTTGACATTTGTTTTAAATTTAAAGTTCTAAATCTCATTTTTTTGGGGGGGATCTGCTCTATAATAAATTTATTGACAAAAACCTATTTGCTGTATGAATATCAACACGCACAGCTTTGAAAACTTTGAATGCGATTTTCTCAATACTTAAAAAACACGACATTCGCTGTTTTGACATATGTTACACCTCGATGGTTAGTTTTTACTTCTGTAACTTTTGAACATATCAAGATAGAGACTTCCAATTTTGTGAGTGCTCCTTGATCAAAGAAAACAACTTTTGGGATCCCCCAAACTTTTACGGAGTTTACCCAGAAAAGGGGTTGGAATTCATGGGGTTATAGGGGTGGTTCAAGACTTATGCATAACTTGTATAAAAGTTAGTAGCCTCTCGATAATTTATGAAATGGCGAACCTGTGCAAGAGGTTGATCTGGGTTTAGGTAGACAGCAGGATTCTTATCCAAAGTTGAGCGAGGACCGGTTTGCCCAGTGATTGGCACTGAGGAGACATGAAGGGCAGTGGCGACAGACTGAAGCACTGTTTCTTCATTTACGTATGGTCCAACGGCTTTTAGACCTTTTGGTAATTCCATTGTCTTCAGTTCAGATCCATCAACATCACATGCTCTTAGACCTTCCAGTCGCTTCTCCCAAAAAAGCTGTTGAAGACAAAACGAGAGAGGAATCATTGAAGAGAGAGGAGATGAAACTATGTCATTCATTATTTTTTCATTAAAATGGAATCGGACAAATAAATTTTCTGGGAGACGCCAGGACAAAAAGGGAGTTACTTTTGGCATTATTCCTTTTTTGTAAAGAATGTCAAGATGTCAGATGGTTAAAACAGATCTATGTAATGTAATTAGAATCATTCTTCTGTCTCTAAGTATGTTCTGTCATCAATATCCGTGAAAAGATAAATTGATTAAAACAAAAAATATTTCTTTTCACAATTCATTTTCTCAAGGAATAAATAATTAATAGTACTTTTTGAAGTCTGTGGTAATTGTTTTCGGCTCTTTTAATGGGCCTCTAGACAAGGTATGAATTAAAAACACTGCACAACAATTTTTCTCTTCAAAATTTTAGAGACAGAACAAATCACATGATGAAAAGTGTGGTAATCAACTTTGAGCCAAGATTTAGGAGTTGAAAATTAACATCGGGCAAGTGGCAAAAATGCAAATGGTGCAATTTGTCTGCTATGTTATCCATTTGATCTGTGTAAAAAGACTTGCTCATACCTCATTCAAGTGTTGATTTCTGAACTTTCAGTTGTGTGTACCAAAGATTTAAAAGAGAGACTTGTTCTCTCTTTTAAATCTGAAGATGTTTTAAAAAGTTCAGACCCTGCCTACAGTCGCATTCCCTCTTATTACAGTATATAGGTAAAAAGGAGTTATTGATTTCTTTAGAGAGATGTAAAAGAACCAAGGTATTGAGATACTTTTAATAATTTTTTTGATCAATGTCTTACTTTGAGGATATGACAGATGAATAATAAAAAGTGGCACTTTTTACAAAATGAAGAGAAACCTCAGGTGAAGCTTGTTACCTGATATTCTTTGTTACAAACTAGAGCACTTGCGCTTAATTTTTCACCTTGATATTGAGGTTTTAATGTTCATTTCATCGCCTGGAGCTTCTATAAGATATTTCAACTTCAAGCATTTTTCTCGACAGTGAAAAAATGTCACTTTGAGTCCTTCATTCAAGATATCCTGATTACTTACTACAAAGGCTTTGATAAAAATTATTGATGGCTAAAATTATGGATAATTTACAATGATAGGTTTTTAATATCTTAAAAATTAATTTTTTCTATCCTCTTTTTCTAACTGATGTAGCATATCCTTTTCACACCTAACTAGTTGTGAACCTAATGAGCCAAATAGATTACCTGTTTCGGTTTTTCTTGAGGGCCATGTTTGAAATCAGATTTCACCTTCCCTTCTTGCATTTTGAAAACAGTTACAGGTTGCTTGAAAATGGAAGCTGTTTGCCTGATAGGCGGTACCAAAGATACATCATTACGCATGTTGCGGCTGAAAAATTAAAGGTAAAATTCTCAGTTTTAATAAAAAACATGTCACTCAAATATCATACTGATAATTTAATTTAAAACAAGCGATGTAATACAAATTAGATTCATTCCACAGCGCAGGAATTGATTAAGAAACTTTTTGGCATGGGGATTCTTGTATCAACTTCCATGTCTTTTACAGTCATACCAACTACTTACGGTTCCTGACTTTAGTACTTACTTACTTACTGATAAAATTCTTGAGAGTTTGGACAAACATATCTTTTTACGAGCACAATTCCATCAAAACTGATGACCAATATTAACTTTTAAAAGTTGCTGACACTCCTCTCACTTGTCCTGGGGCATATTCAATAAACATGACTGGTATCGATTCCCAACTAATACAACTATTGAGCTCCCAAAGTTCATTTGCACGTATTTATGCTAGAAGGAAGTGTGTTGCACGCTAATTCTATGCACATAGTTCCGTTTAGCATAAATACATCCATTTTTAGTTATGTACACTTCATTTGTACTTATTTATGCTGTCACAATGTATCAAAATCACAGAATGAGATTTACCCCTGCTTCATAGGTACTTCTTCAAGAACCCTCCTTAAGTTATTGTAAGAAATGCCCCTGTTGAAAACTTTTGCTTGAGCAAAAATAAGAGTCGTCACTCATAGAGCATGTCTAAAAAAACACGATGAGCGCATCCGCAAAATCTGAAATGCACTCCTTACTTCACAATTTCCATAAGATATTTGCGTTTTTTTGAGCTGCCCACCTAAAAAATGAAACCACAGCACAGGTGAACAATTTGTTAAAGGAGTCATTCCATTCAACCCCTGCTCAAAAGGATACTACGCAATATTCAACATAGCTGATGCCAATCCGCCAAAACACATGTGAAGGGATGATGATTCTAACCACTTGATAACAATTGGCAGGTTTATATACACATTTTTCTCGCATTGATAGATATCCGCCTTGATTGACCTCAAGTTTTCCTCAACTTGCGTGCGGAAGTGTCGGCCATGCTGAGCAGGGATTGAATGGAACGACTCCTCTAACGAACAGTTCACCTGTGCCATAGTATCATTTTTCAAGCGAGAAGCTTAAAAACACGCAAATTTCTTACGCAGATTCTGAAGTTAGGAGTGCATTACAGATGTTGCCGATGCACTCATTGTGATTTTTGAGACATAATCTGAAAGGAACAACTCTTATTTTTGCTCTAGCAAAAATTTGCGACAGGCCCATTGTCTTACCCAACTGCTTATTCTGAGAGTGACGTTTTTCTATCTCGAGGAAAAAATTATTCTATCGTTGAAATTTAATTACCTGTAGTCAAATTGCGCCGTTTTGTTCTTGTTCTTGTGAGAACGAACTAAGAGAGTGTTTACTTTTCCGGTCTGAAAATCAAATGTGCCAAGCTGTACAGAATCTCCAACACATCGAGCTAATTGAGGTTTGCTGCGGAATCTTTGACCATCAGGGCTAGAACAATACAAAAACAAAATAGTTTATCCTGATATTGTCCAAAATTGTCTGAGTGTCCAAAATGATCATCTGCATAGGTATGAAAGAAAAAGTAATGTTTTGTTGATTCTGATGATTAAGTACATGCATTTTGGGACCAATTTTAAGTTTTTTACACAGTTTGACAAGTCATTTAGCCGCAATTTTGTGCTATCCATTTCCTTCAAAACAAAACTTTAGTAAAAATCCACATTTACTTACTTACTTCTTATTCCTCTCAATTGTTTCAACTCTTTCAGTTTGTGGCAAAGAACACCATCAGTTGTTTACTTTGGAAAAACCATGAAGCAATCAATTTAAAATTACTATAACATCTTGTAACTTCTGAGATAGTGTGTGCTGCTATCTCGATGAAGATAATCACTCTGTATCTTACACTAATGCATAGCTACTTATTCAATATACTAGACTCATGTGATTGGATTTATCTTAAAAAAAGAATTAAATAGTGGCTTCGGCAAGTATATAGGGGCATTGTTGAAGTAAACTTGTGCAATTCCATTTGGTTCTTTTGTTTCCAAACGCAGCCTAACAGTCCTATCGACTTCCTGAGATCGTTGAGCGTTTGGTAGAAACTTGAGACTTACTTACGTAAACAAACAAGCCATCGGGTAATTCTACCTGAGTCCAACAGCACCGACCATTTAGAATCGGGTAATTCCGTTTTCAAACAGTCCCAAACACAGTTTACATCGACAGCGCACCCTTTATTACCACTCAGGGTGTACATGTCAGATGAACGTTGAGATTGAGACGTAGGTGCACAACCATTTGATTTATCATGAGATACATTTCCACAATGTATAACTGAGTGTGCAAGTTGTCTTAATACATCTAGAATGAAAACTAATTACCTTCTGATTTAATAAATCAAGGTAGGTACGGTACCTGAGGAGTTAAGTGAGAAATATAGAGGTGTTCAAATTGTGTGAGAGAAGTGGTAACAACATAACTTAAGTAACATTACGAGTGCACTAAGTTGATAGGGGAGTACTTAAAAAGGGCAAAATTGGAAACTTAGAGCAATATTCAGCATCAGAAAAGAAAAGAAAACCTGAAACGCTGAGCCAAACAAACAAATGAAAACATAACCTCAAAACCAAACAAACGCGTTGACAGACATCAGCATCCAAAACAGACTTCGAACATTAGAGGCTAAATTTCTCACATGACTTGATAATTAAATTTCTAACTGAAAAAATGAAACTAAATGAAGAACGCTTGGCCATACCTGTAATAAAAAACATCAACTTTTCCGGCGGACAGCCCCGTTTTCCGAACGACTTCCTCTCTCTGCCAGCCTTTCGGTAAAGCGGAGCACTCGAACCTTTTTTTTTCAACAGACATAATCCACCGAAACTGCTGGTTCAAAATCGGCACGAAATCTCAATAAACTTTCACGAACATTTCAGTTATTTCCATGTTACCAGTACTGAAAAAAATCCTGGCGATGACACCTGATAAGAATATGACACTACGTACTAAGAGAAGAGCGGTGAGCGGGTGAAAAAGTGTGACTCATTGATTAGCAGTGCGGAGTACAGACGTCCTTGGCCATCTTCATTCTTTGCCATTCTTTTTTTCCGCCCCCACTGTGCGTCCAAGCCGCGGACCGCGAAG